AGCTTTTTGTGCTTTGGGATTTTGTTTCGTGTCTGGCCTGTTGGCAACCCAGATGGGGGCCCATCTTCAAACGGTGACCATCTGCCACGGCAGGCCCAACATTTTGGACACGTGTTGTGAAATCGAGGGGGGGGGGAGTTGCCAAAACCTGGGATGAAAAACGCATGCTGGAGTGATGCTTCCAGGGTGGACTGGCTGCAGGCCAGGAGCAGAGCCGAACTGCTGTTAGGCGGCAATTTATTTATTTATTTGTTTGTTTATCGATTAATATCCTGCCTTTCTCCTACAAAGGGCTCAAGGCAGCTTGCATCATTCTCCTCCTCCATCTTATCCCCACAACAACAACCCTGTGAGGTAGGCTGGGCTGAGAGGCTGTGACTGGCCCAAAGTCACCCAGGTGACTCCATGGCTGAGCGGGGAATTGAACCCAGATCACCTGAGTCCCAGTCCCATGCTCTAACCACTATACCACACTGGCTCTCCAGTATGAGGTATGGGACAGGCCTCGATAGGGTGTGGCCAGGTGTCCAACTTGGTACAGGTCAGTTCTCTGTTGAAGGTGCCCTCTGCCTGAAGAGCTGTCCAGTCCCGAGTTTTGGTCAAAGGAAAGAACTGCAAGAAGGCAGAGCAAGGAAGGGCCTCGACGTTCCCTACCTTCTCTTGGCTCCAGAAGGGGGACAGGTGTGGGCCGCCACCTTCCCTGACCTGGGAGAGATCTGGACCTTGAGGAAGAGTGCAAAACTCACCTTTTCAATTTAACTTTGAGCATGTGCCATTTCTAATGTTGTTTCTGCGTTTACTTTTCTTTTGCGTTTGCAAGGGTTCATTGTTTTAATCTGTGGTATGCCACTTCAATGGCTTTTTAGCAGGTAGGCGAAAAATGACCATTTTCAGATATAGAGAACATTTCTGAATGTCCATCTTTGTGGACTGCATCAGCCTGCATGGTTTTATATAAAAAGGCCCTCTCTTTTGTCTTCGCGGGTGGCTCTGGGTGAGCCACTATCCCTATCCCTGGATGAGCTGTTTGAAAAAGTGCCAGTGGAGGAGGAATGTATAATGTGAAGCAGCTTAAACTACCAGAGTGCCCATGGCGATCACCCATTGCGTGGTTTTTGGCAACCCGGATCGATCTAGGGCGGTTTGCAACCTGCCAGTTGCAGTGCCCACCGAACCTCAAACCGTTTAGTCTGCAGTTCCAGGCAGGCAACAGAAACTGAATGGCTGACTTCCATGCAGCTTTTGTTTGGAGACATGCCAAGCATTTAGGCCCAGTTATATCATCCCCGAAAAGTAAAAGGAGTTGTTTCCAACATACTAATCGGGGCAAGATTTGATTTTTGGCAACGTCCCAGTGCCAAGAGCCGTATTCCTTTGTGTTGTGCTGCTTGTGTGTGTTTTAAAGCCTTCCTTCTGAAGCCAGTTTCCCGAGCGACTGCGTTGCAAGCCCTTCCAGCTTCTGTCTGGCACAGCCGAGGCAGAACTGCTTCCAAACCGCCCCCCCCCCCCCCCGCCACTGCTTATCACCCTGGTCCTGGACGTGGAATAAACGCTGTCTATGTATTCCAGTACACAGCACAAACAGCCCCTCTGTTCCCGCATGATAAGTTCCAGGTGACTCCAGCATGTGCCGCACATAAATCCAGAACAAAGCGAACGGCACGGACACCCCACATCGCTCCGCTCCTTCTCCGCCGCGCTCCAGCTGTTCATCTTGGAGCCTCTGGAGAGCTGCATTGCTGGATCAAGGAAAGGGTCTGTCCAGCCTGTGTTCTTTACACACAGCGGCTGGCCAGGTGCCTGCAGCACCCCAGGCGGGAGCACAACGGCACCCTTCTCCCCATGTTCCCCAGCAGTGGGTGTGCTTGCTCCCCTGCCCCTGATTCTGGAGACACAGAACCTTGAGGACTAGTAGCCAATGAGTGCCTTCTCCTTTGTACATTTAGAAACATAGAAACAGAGCGACTCAGAAGGGGTCTCCCGGGCCATCTAGTCTGACCCCTGGCTCCAGCCGGCTCCGCTCACAACATGCCCACCATGTGCATGTCCAGGCTATCCTTGAACACCCGCACCGATGGGGCCTCAGCCACCTCCCATGGAAGCCCATTCCATACGCTGGGCATCCTAATCGTCAGGAAGTACTTCCTGGCATCCACCCTAAATCCTGGTTACCTGAGCTTTGCAGGGAAATTTGTCTGGTCCCCTTTAAAACCATCCCAACGGGTGGCCATCACCCCATTTCATGGAAGCGAATTTTGGATTTCAACTCGGCATGTGTGAAGAAGGATTTCCTGCGATTTGTCCGGAATCTGCCACCCATCAGCTTCATGGCCCAGCCCACGCAGTTCTGACTTGGGACAGATTGTTCATAACTTTGAATCTTTGCCCATAATGAGCAGAAAACCACGAATGGGCTGAGTTGCTCCTGGTGGGCGTGTATGTCTGCAAAAGTGCATGAAGGCAGAATTCTGCATCTGAACCGATTTCAATAAATGCTGCTTTTCTGAGATTTGCTCTTTAGCTTGCCATGTAGTTCTTAGCACCTACCAACACTATCTATGTATTTGCACAAAACCATGCCCAAGGTGAACTTACAACATAACAAAGGATCAGTATAGATACAATTTACAATAACATACCAAGTTAGCTGCATGTGACCTGGAGCAAACAGTGGTATTCAAAAACTGCAGTAGAAATGGTTATGAACAGCCCTAGCACTGGTGGCTAGATAAAAATGTAATAAATATTGGTCCAGACAGCAAATAAACCAACCCTAATCCAACAGCTTAGTGCTATAAACAGAATAAAGCATAATACAGAAATGCAAAAAACAAAACACCCAAAGAGAAATACATTTCCCTTCCGCCGTGGTAACATGGATTTCTGCAGAATGATTGTTATCTCATCCTTCCTAGTGAGGAGAGTTCTTAGCAGCAGAAGCATCTTGAAATTTAATTCCAGGGGAGGACGGCGAGTGCAGAAAGCTTAGAGCACTTGGGTAGTACCTGTGTTTCCTGGGGTGCACATTTATTATTATTATTATTATTATTATTATTATTATTATAACATTTCTATGCTGCCCCTTGCCGAAACCTCGGGGCGGCTTACAACACAATAAAATACATTGAAATACAATAGAACATAATAAATTACCATTAAATACCAAAATACAAAAAATACACTGAGTTACAAATATAAAATTAAAATTATCATTTGGACAAGAAAACATCCCCCAGGACCTAGCATGGCCAGCAGGGACTAGACCCTTGACCTCCCAAGGCACAGCCTGGAACTCTAACCACTGCATCACACTGTCTCAGTTTTAATATATTTATCTATTCCTCTCTCTCTGTTTGGGATTCAATGAACCAAACCTTTGTTCTGGCAAAGGCCAGGATGAGGCCTCCCTCTAGTGGCCTTTCTAGGAACTGACCCGGACCCTTCCTGTAGCCGAAGAACCAGCTGGCAGGGTGTAACGTTTTTTTCTCAGAATAAAATAACATGGGGAGTGGGAGGGCCAAGCGGTTTAATGAGGAGTGAATGTGAAGAATGGGCACGGGATCCTGAGAGGTGGGTGGGAGCACTGGGGAGGGGGGGAGAAATGGAGTCTTTCACAAGAGGACATGGCCGGCTGGCTGGTTGGCGGGCCAGAATGAACCCTGAGCAGGAACATTCCCTATGACAACTTTCATTGCAGGCCCCATGCGTGATGACGACACTAAATACGTTTCCCTGCTGGAGTTACTCGCACGTATCAGACTGAACTAAGTCCCTTAGGAGAAGGGTCTCCACGGCCACTAGTTCTGATGACTCTGTGCTGTCCCCCATATCGGAGGCAGTATGCCTGGGTACTCTAGTGGATGGAGAACACCAGCAAGGGCGTGCTGTCGAGCTCGTGTCCTGCTTGTGGTTTTCCCGGGGTGCAAACAGAAAACTGGACTAAGAAACCTTTGGTCTGATCCAGCAGGGCTGTTTTTCTGTTCTTAGGGTTTTTCCTCTCAAAATCTGGGTGTTGGATGTGGAGTGTCTGTTCTGCCTTACTCTGCATCAGACCACCTGGTCCATCTAGGAGGCACTGCTTGCCAAAAGATGAGGATCTTCTTTGACTTCGAAGCCAAAGACGACCCCAAATATTCTCCAAACCACGTGTCCTTTGCAAGCACTTGGGCTCTGAGTGACTGGCCATCAGGTGCCATATGCCTAATGGTCACTGAGGTGGAAATCCTGTTTGGACTGTACCACTTTGGACCTCAGGCTGGGGTCCAATGCTCCTCTGCATCAACAGGTGGCTAATCTGGCTTTCTTACAGACCTCACGGTGTTTTCTGAGGGAGATTTATTGTGAGCGGCCCCGAAGCTTCAGCAAATGGGGCGGCATTGAAGCCTCCTAAATAAATTAAATAAATGAATAAGATTGTGTGAATCCACCACCTAGGATCTGAAATGGAGCAGCCCTGATACAGGTCAAGCACATCTGGCTCCGAGTGTCCCTTCCTCGCAGGCATCCTTCTGGAAGATTCGTGGGCAATAGCTATCACTGCTCCTAAAAACAGACCAAAGAGGGCAGAGTTTTGGAGAGGCCGTCTGGCTGCTTCTTAAGCTCAGGCAGCAAGACACGAAGGGGGGAAAGGCTCGTTTTGGGAATGGGGAAGGCTGGAGGGGGCCAGGGATGAAGGCTGCTGGGGCTGCTTCATCTCTGTCTCTCCCCCCGTGGCACAGGCCAGCTGGACGGGCCAGAAACCCCCCAAGAGAGGACTGTGGGACCAGCGGAAGAACCCCTCTAGTACTCTCCCCTCTTTGCTCAGGGTCCCTATAACCATCTGGGGGCTAAAGGGCGCTGGGAAAGGACCGCACACCCAGAGGACGTGCTTGGCCTCCCAGAACATTTTGCTCCTTTCCGGCTGTGGGGATTTCATCCGCCCCTACGTGTCTCTTCCACGCAACACGCTCTTTTCAGACGAGCGCCACGTTTCCTGTTACCCTTGTCTCTCTCTGCTGCAGAGTTTTTCGATGACTACTCCGAAGGCCGGGAATGCGTCAACTGCGGGGCCATGTCCACCCCGCTCTGGCGGCGGGACGGCACCGGACACTACCTGTGCAATGCCTGTGGCCTTTATCACAAGATGAACGGCATCAACCGGCCGCTGATCAAGCCCCAGAGGCGGCTGGTAAGGAAACCCCTGCGCCGTCCTGGCCACGCCGTGGGCGCTCGTGTTGGGGACTGGCTCCCCCCACACCCCGTGCACGATCCTGAGCTGAGCAAAGGGTGCCGAAGAAGCTGCCCAGGACAGATGTGCAGGCCGAACGGCAGAGCTTGGTGTTGCAGCATGTTTATTTCTGGTTTTAAAAAACCCTGAACACACAGCCTTTGTGGACCTCGTTCAGTGTTGTGTGGGGTTCTCCAGCGGCCAACTGGAAGCCAGATTAAATTTGGCTTTCCTATCCAGAAATCTCATATGCTGCTAATGCAGAGCCCCAAGAGGATGGTTCTCTGCCCCAAGGAGACTGCAGTCTAAAAGTTAGCGCACCAACAAAGGAAAGGGAGGAAGCGGGCAGGAAGGGGCACACGGGGAAATGTTATACCAGGTTTTGAGTCCAGTGTGCTTCAGCTTAGTTACATGAGGAGTAGCAGATGGTCGGCAAAGACTTCTTGGAAAAGGTGGGTTTTAAGGAAAGGGGGCAAAAGAGCTTTGGATGGAAGCTCTTTGGAAGGCAGAACCGAGTTGTTAGTGTGCGGGGTTTATCCCAGCTTCAGGCTGTTCAGTGATTTGAAATATCTGGGCGAAGGTTTGGGAGGGAGACAGAAGTGATACAAACATGAAGGGTGGGTTAGATGCCCAAAGGGGCAGAATCCCCAGAAGTTTCTGAAGAGTATTGTGCTCAGTTCCGGGCTCCACGTTACAGGAAGGATAGAGCCAGGTTGGAGTCACTGCGGCGCAGGGCCACGAGGTTGGTGGCCGGTTTGCAGGGGAAGCCGTATGAGGCGAGACTGAGGGAACTGGGTCTCTTCAGCCTGGAGAAGAGGAGACTCAGGGGGGATCTGTTGGCAACATACAGGAATGTGAGGGGTGTCACACGGAGGTGGGTCGAGACCTGTTCTCCCCTGCAGAGGAAGGCAGGATGCGCTCCAATGGAGCAAAGCTCAGGGAGCCAAGGTTCAATTTGGATGCCAGGAGGCACTTCCTGACAGTCAGGACCCCGAGGGTGTGGAATGGGCTTCCACGAGAGGTCATTGAGGCCCCATCGGTGCGGGTGTTCAAGGACAGGCTGGATGTCCACATGGTGGGCATGTCATGAGCGGAGCCAGCTGGAGCCGGGGGTCAGACTAGATGGCCCGGGAGACCCCTTCTGACTCGCTTTGTTTCTATGTTTCCAAGTGCTAACAACCCTAAACCTTTAGGATTTGAAATCCTGGTTGGATGCCCCCATGCCCTGGCTTTGGGGATCGCTTTCTTGCACAGGCTCAGCTTTTGCTTTGTATCCCCATGGACTAGAAACCTGGTTTTTGGAAAGGAAGGAGCCTAGCGCCCAATTTCAAACACTGGCACCAGATTCGGGGCTTGCAGCTTCCCGGGATGCACGTGCCCCGGGGCCACTGGCCGCAGGGGGTCCTGCTCACTTCGCACTCTTGTCCCCACAGTCGGCCACCCGCCGGATCGGGCTGTCGTGCGCCAACTGCCACACTTCCACAACCACACTGTGGCGCCGGAACGCCGAAGGAGAGCCCGTGTGTAACGCCTGCGGGCTGTACATGAAGCTCCACAGGGTAAGGGCAGCAAACCAAGGGAGGACCCAGCCTCGCCAGCCTCTGTGGAACATGGGAGGTGGAATCCCTGCAGCCGCTGGGAGCGCCCTCGCTGGGGCTTGGCTTATTTGGTGGGATGAAGGGCCTGGAGGAGTCTACTCACTGTGGGGGTCGAGTGCCAAAAATGGTGGAAGAGGCCGGAAGGGAGAGCAGGCCGAAGAGCAGCAAGGGGGAGATGCTGATCCCCCCGCCCAGGCCTTACTGGCAAGACGGGGTTAATAAAGCCAGGTCTCTGCTGCTTGGAGAGTCCCTGAGGTTGGGCTCAGCTTCAGTGTCAAAAGTGCCAGTGGAAAATTAGATCGATAAAGTGTCCCCTAGGCTTCCATTTAGCCCTCAGTGCCGCTCCTGCCTCATCTTGGAAGCTAAGCAGGGTTGGGCCTGGCTGAACTCTGGATGGGGGACCTGAGCCGCCCAGAGAGCTTCGGCTGCAGGCAGTATAGCAATGTAGTTAATAATAAGAATAATTGAAAAATATTTACCATTCAGGGCATTCTGCCTCCCCCAGTAAGCAGCTCACCGCCCTAGCTACACACCAGCTGCGTTTCTTGGCTCCCCACACTGCGGGGACGTGCCGTGAGTCGGGGTGCCAGAGTGGGAAGCGGAAATGTTACAGGGCTGCAGCAGCTGCTGCCCTGGAAGGGGAGGCTGCAGCATCTGGAAGCGCCTGCTTAGAAAAGAGGCGAGTGGGGGAAGCGCGACAGAGGTGTAGAAGCAGAGCCGATGGGGAGACGTTCTCCTTTTCTCCTAGTACTGGACCTCGGAGGGGTCATGCCACGAAGCTGAACGGTGGGGAGCATGGGACATCGTGTGCGGGTAAACTGCAGAATTCGCTGTCGCAGGGTGTTTGGAGGGTCAGGGACTTGGGTGAAGGCTGGAAGAGGGGAGCGGATGAGTTCATGGTGGAGAGGCTATCGGCAGCTGCTAGTCCTCATGGCTCTGTGGCACCTTGGGTAGATGCATGCCATAAAACCCAAAGCAAGCCGGCGTGTGATGTGTCTCTCTAGGTCCCGAGGCCCTTAGCAATGAGAAAAGAGGGGATCCAAACCAGGAAGCGTAAGCCAAAGAACTTAAACAAATCCAAGACATCTGCTGGTGAGTACCATTAAAACAATGGTCATGCTCAACCATGCCCAAGCTCCACTTATCTGAAGTCTGCTAAGGCAGTGTGGGGAAAGGAAGGGCTTGATGCAGGAATCCCCTTTAAACAGAGTGCTTCTATTTAACGGGTTATTCTTTGCACAAAAATGCTGAAAAAAAGATTATATGGAGTAGGATGAAGATGATTTCAACCAGCTTTTCCCAAACAAGTGCCCCCTGGGTGTTTCAGAGTGCGACTCCCATCATTCCCAATCATTTTCCATGCAATGCCTGGGGGGACTTTGGTTGAAGAAGGCCAACTAAGCACCTTGCAAACCCAACCACACTGCCACCTTCATCTCGAGCCCCCCAAACTTTCTGACGTGTCTCTGCAGTCCCGCCTCCTGTGCCATCGTGCGGCTGACCGTACAGGGGGGCTCGACAGACAGGGCCTCCTTGGTGGAGGCACCCCTGCTCTGGAACAGCCTCCCAAAGGAGGACCATTGGCCTTTCTCCTTGTGACGTTTTAGGGAAAGGGTGTGTCCCACCAAGGAAGTTAGCACGAGCGGAGCAGGGCTGCCAAGAGAAGCACAGCTTGGAGGGCTGCCATTCCTAAGTCGGAGACGACTTGACGGCACACAGCGGCAGGAAAAGGCCGAGTGCTTTATTTACTTGAATGGCGAGAGCACCCAGTTGCCGGCCAGTGGCTAGGAAGGGCCTGGTTCAACGGGGTTCTCTTTTCTCTTGCCCCATCCCATAACCAGGACCCCCCAGTAAGGAAACCCTCGCCTCCGCCATCAGCTCGGCCACCAGCACCACCACCACCAGCACCACCGTTGCCGAAATGCGCCCCATCAAGACCGAACCGGAGATCTCGTCTCACTATGGGCACCTGAGCCCCGTTCCTCAGGTAAGGAAGGTGTTCTCTTCCGAAGGATCTAGCGAGCAGGGCAACGGTGAGGGGAGCCTGAATGCTGAGCGGGAGGCTGCCAGCGTCGCAGTGGCTCAGATGGTTTCTGGTCGATTCATCTCATCCTCAAACCCCTGGCAGCCCTTCTGGTAAACATGTCAGGGCAGCTGCAGTCTGTTAGCTAGAAAAATGCCCTGCACCCTCCCTGGGGCACACGAGCTTTCCTTGGGGCAGTTCTTTCACAGGGCAGAAGCTCTGTGTGCCGCTTCTCGTTGCCTGGTGGAATGAGGGAAATGGGGGCATCCTGCCCCCCCGCCCCCACCTTCCTCTGATCCTGGCATCCACCCACCTCTTCTAATGGCGCAGTGATCAGAACTCTGCCCCATGGAAGTGTGGGGAGAGGCAGGGCGGCAGCCCTCGGCTGCCCAGTATTATAGGCCTTCTCATGGCTTCCGAGGGGCTCTTGGCCCCTTCCCCAGGCGGATGCTCACCAGGTGTGTTGGATGGCAACCTCCAGCACCCAGCTGGGCATCCGGGGTGCTGAGGACCGCAGGATGGGCTCCAGGGTGTCTGGAGGGAGTCAGCGAAATTCACAAAGCCTCCACCCCAGCTTTGCCCAGGGTCTTCTCCCCGAGACGTTAGACTGCAATTCCTATCTTTTTGCAAGGAATGGTGGGAGATATGGTCCAACACATCTGTTCAGGATGCGTGGAGAATATGGAGAGCTTTCCTCCCCGTCCCGTAATACCGGGACCCAAGGGGTCACCCCATGCAGCTGATGGATGAGAGATGCAGGGCAGGTCAAAGCAAGCATGTCTTCGTACAACATTCTCTGCCATTGGAAGGCACGAAGGCCACCCGTTTGGAGGGCTTGAGGAAGCGATCGAGCGCATTCATAGAGGAGGGGGCTGCCCAAGGGTACTAGTCCTTATGGCCTCCGGGATCACAGGTATTATGGCGAGGTGCTCTGGTTGCCGGGGCACATGGGCAGGAGAGTGCCCGCCGACCCTGCAGGGTTTGTGGGGGCGGCCAGCTGGCCAGGAAGCTGGACTTGATGAGATGGATCTGGTCGCATCCAGCAGGGCTTTTTTACGCGTCCAGGGGTGCCACACAGGAGAAGACTTTTACACCAGGGGTGGTCCCACCGGTTACGGAGAGGCCGGTTCGGTGGGCAAAACTGAGCCCCATAGAAGGCTGTGACCTTGCATGTGCTTCCTTGCCCTTCTGCTGATGCTCTGCTGCTTTCTCCCCCGTTACCCGCACCCCAGCAGGCCTTCTCTGTCGCTGCAATGGCCGGGCACGGATCGGCTCTCCACTCCACCATCTCGGCCCTGAAACTTTCCCCACAGCCGTACCAGCCGGCCCCCAGCCAGTCCCCCCAGCCTGGCTCCAGGCAGGATCACTGGAACGGCTTGGTCCTGGGGGAAAGCAACGGAGACGTCATTTCCTAACTCCTCCGCCCTCGGCAGAGGCTCGGATCCGAAGACTGCTTGCCGCGCTTCAGTGAAGACGAGGTGGTTTCTCTGTTTCCCTCCGGCTTTCTTCCCTGCCCGCTTTCCTGGTGGCTCGCTGGAGCCAGTCCTGCCAGAACCGTTTGAATGTCTGCGCTAGCCCTTCTGAAGTCAAAAGCACCGTCCCGCTGGGAAGACGCCAACACGCTTGCAACAGCTGAAGCGAGCTGAAACGTTTCGTCTCGAATCACAACCGCCTTCGTGAGTGCCATGGCCGGGCGTGCCAAATTAAGCGTGCAATTGTGAGCATGATTGCTCAGATGAAATTCTCACCTGTGCAGCCGTTTCTTGTGCGAATGCACACAGCATTGCAATTTAACACTTCAGAAGGGACACACTGGCCCCACTCGCTTGGACAACGGTGTTGTACACACAGCTTGACTTTCCCCCCTCTCTTTGGGTTTCTGCTCCGACGCAAAAGGATGGGAGGATGAGAAAAAAGGGACGTTTATAGGTCTGACCTCCTCCAAAGGAGCTTCTATCTCGCCTGCACACAGTATTAAGGTGTTTTTACCGGTTCAGCCACAGCTCAGCAAGGGTTGAAAAATGGCGTGATGGGAATGGATGTGGAAAATATGGGGCGTTCCCCCCCCCCCATATAAAAAGAGCAGCTGTAATATGTGGACCAGCATTTTCTAGTGCGACAGGCTGGCGGCCGGCCTCTCTTCAAAATTTGGCTCCACAGGCAGCCGAATCGCTCTGTTCAGCCTGAGATACGCAGGCGGGAGAAGAGTGGGGCACATTGCTGGCCGTGGGACCAGGCCGTGGGCTGGATTGGGCCCCGCAACCCCTTCCCCATCCAGTTGTCCAACTGGGCCTCCCGCAAACCAGTTCCTGACTGGGATTGTAGGACTGCTCTCCTCCCTGGAAGGCTACCTGCAGGCGTAATGCATTTACCCGCTTCCCTGTTCTGGTTGTCCTCCTTTCCAAGCCCAGGATTGTTTTCATAAAAGCTAAGGGTTTTTTTAAAAAAAAACATACCTCCAAAAAGGGGATGCAGCTATAAACACGATAACGGGGTTGGGCTTAAAAGAAAAAAGTCAGCTTGAGATTCAAAAGAGAAAGAGCTGGTTTGAGTAGCAATGAGTCCTAACAGTGGAGACTCCAGGAAAAGACCTGGAAGGGGACTTCAGAGCTTTTGGGGGGATGCAGCCTGGCATCACGGGGGCCCTGGCTTCAGAGACGGCGGGAATCCCAACTGGATGCACAGGAATTGTGTGGATCCAGACCGTTCCAAATACCTGCTGCATGCCGGTGTTCACAGAACTCCCTTTCTGTCACTTCGATTGCCCACTGCCCCATTCCGATCGATAAATCTAATAATCCTGCCCTTGAAAGCAGCTGTTCCCACATTCCTCGCCCCGGACTTTGTGTCACCCATAAGCTCTCATAGAAATGCTTCTTTTGCCGAGCAGAGCTTGGAGGAGAGCGGGTGGACCAGAAGGCGTCCATCAGAAGCACCTTCCGGCAGACTTCAGGCACAAGCAAAGGAATTTGTTAGGCTGTGGATGGTGGAGCCTACCAAGCTAAGACACAACCTACTGGTCGGGTTGCCAACGTTTTTCCCTGCCTTTGCTCCTGTGCTTGAAGCGGCCTCTTTGTCTGCAGTGTTAGCAGTTTCATCATGCTGGGCCCGAAACATGGACTTGTCAGTTTTGCAAGACTGTTCTGCACCTGCGGGCACAAAAGTGAGGCAGGCCTTTTCCCCTGGTCAGTTGGCAACTCCGTTGCATCCGCCTTGTGTTTGAGATTTGTGAGTCCAGGGAGAGACCACAAATACTGGCTGTGCATACTTCAGGTTTGATCTCTGGCATTACCAGAGGACTTGAAAGATAGCAAGCCTTACCTATGCAAGACAGAACACAGGAGGCAGTATCTGTGTGAACAAGTGAGCGAACAAGAATAGCATTCAGCTCTCTTTTCAAATCATCCAGATAGAGCTGCAAGGTTTATTTAATTAATTGAAGACATGCATATTCGAGATCTTCAGCAGCATACCCCAAGCCATTCAAGAAGTCTTTTTTAAAGCAGAGGAGCAGGGTGAAAATAATTTCAGGTGAATTCCTACGCACATTTAGACAGAAAAAAGGCCTGTGATTTCTAGTGTGCCCGGCCAACATAGCTGGGAATTGTAGGCCCCTTTTCTGTCTAAACATGCAGAGGCCTCAACCTGAATTAAAGAAGTAATCCAAGTGCCTGAGGTGATGTGTTTTGCATTCAGGAGGGTCCCGGTTGATCCGCTGGAGTCCTCTGCTTAAGGGATCTGCAAGAAAACGCTTCTAGTCTGAGAGTTTCCGCATGCAGCTGGTTCTGGACTACCTGGACAAGTCTGTCTGTGTGTCACCAATAGGGTGCCTCTGAATACTACAACCCTCCAGCAGCTGGAATTGTTGTTCTCGCTGGAAGAGAATCATGGTCTGTTTTGGACATTTGCTCATGCTACCAATGAGGAGCCCCCAGCCCTCTTAGCCCTTTCTGGGGGACCCCGTGCCACGGTTTTAGATGGTTACACAGAAGCCACGCTTGGGTTTCATGGATTTTAAAGGACCAGTCTACATTCCCTTCCACGATTCAACTGCCGGATGTGTCGAGATCGGATCTCCTTTTCCTCCTGGATTAAACCGTTTGCCCCCGCATGCAGCCTTCATAGAAGCTAAGTGGAGAGACTGCCAGGGCTTGACCACGTTTTCATTCCCCTTTCTGCACCCCTGGGTGCTTCTCCAAGGAAGTGTATGTCTCGCTTCGTACATAAATGTGTAAATCTGTGGAGGCCGGATGTGTACACACAGCGCGGCCTGACTACATACAGTCGGTTTGTGCACAGGGCTGTTGTTAAGAAGCTTGTTACTTGACGTTATCGGAGGCTGAGAGTTAAAAATGTTCATGAACTGGGCACCCAAAGGACGGTTGCCAACTCTTTCTCCTGGCCTTGCTCTGGTGCCTTTAGCCAGTTGTAAAAGATTGTAAATCTAACAAACTGGGGGAGGGGATTCTTCAGTGATATTGACTGATACACAAGAAATACTTTGCCCACTAAATTCATGGTTTGGGTGGGTGGCTGTTTTTAAACAAAGCTGGATATGTCCCAGCGTATCCTCTTTGGGCTTCTTTTCACAAAGGAAGTAAACCCATATCTGATGTTTATCATCACCAGAGCCACTTCGTTAAACTTCGATAAATGGAAAAGCCACAAACTGGCTCAGCATGGAGAGAATTCGAAGGAGACCCGTCTTGGGTTGTTGTGGGCTCAGGCAATTTGAACCCTTAAGTTCGCTGGTTTCCACCTGCCCCTGGAAGTGCAGTCCCAGGTTGCTCCTTCAGTGAGCAGACATGTAGTTCACCTGAGCAGGAGATCTTAGATTCATTCATTTTTTAAAAAATCTGTCCATGTGCTTTTAGCCTGGGGAGTTTACATGCAACACTGCCGAATCTCCCCAGCAAAATGCCGTTCAGAAAGATGTTTGCTTGCAAAGGGGCAGAAGAGACAGGGCCAGAACAAGTTTAAAATTATTTAAAGTTATAATATATGTGTGTGTGTGTATGTGTATATATATATATTTTATGAATCTACTTACCAACTTACATACCAACTTCACCCAATAGACTGAATGGAAATAAACCAGAGGCATTCATTTCCAGGTAAAGAATGGTTTGTTTTGCTTTCTTTCATTTACAAACGTCTCAGCACAGCAACAAAAAGCAGGGCACCAAAAGAGGGCTTTGCATAAAATTGGGATATGCCAGTTCGTCTGCGGAGGTGTGGATTGACAAATAAATACTGCATTTTGAATAGAAATGCAAGACCTCTGGCCAGAGGGGTGGAGACTCACCACATAACCCATGTGCCTCTCTAGTCAGCCCTTGTCCAGGCGGGTGGGCAATTTCATTTTCATCATTCCTCACATTAGACTCGGACTGGACAGCCCTTCAAATAGAGGACTGTCCTTTGCAAGGTAGGACACCGGATGCCGAAATCAGGTGTAATAGCCATGGCTTGTTACTGTGGGTTGTTTACTAGGGTTGTTTTCTCAGCTGGCTTCAGGACAGCACAGCCCACAGTTCAACAAGCCATGTTTCAGTGATGGCTCCTACTCAGCCCCCAAGTGTGGTTTTTGAGGTTCTCCAAAGCCAGTCCCTGGGATTCTCCAGAAAACCACCATTCCTTGATTTTCCCAGTATGTGCACCCCATTGTAACAGGCTGAAAGGCCTCTCAAATAGTTTGGTATTTTGTCTGCGTCCCTTTCGTTCTACCCTCCACTACAAGCCCCTGAGAATTTATTTTAAATGGAATTAGGACCTGGGGCCGAAAGCGATTCTGTGCCCATGTTAGTTCAGGGACAGGAAGTAGATAAGTTGTGTTTATTAGTGCACTATAGAAACATAGAAAACAGAGCGAGTCAGAAGGGACCTCCAGGGCCATCTAGTCTGACCTCCGGCACCAGCCGGCTCCGCTCATGACGTGCCCACCATATGGACGTCCAGCCTATTCTTGAACACCCTCACTGATGGGGCCTCAACCACCTCCTGGGAAAGCCCATTCCACACCCTCGGGGTCCCAACTGTCAGGAAGTACTTCCTGGCATCCAAATTGAACCTGGGTTCCCTGAGCTTTGCTCCATTGGAGCACATCCTGCCTTCCTCTGCAGGGGAGAACAGGCCTCCACCCACCTCCATGTGACAGCCCCTCACATACCTATATGTCGCCAACATATCCCCTCTGAGTCTCCTCCTCTCCAGGCTGAAGAGACCCAGTTCCCTCAGTCTCACCTCATTTGGCTTCCCCTGCAAACCGGCCACCAACCTTGTGGCCCTGCGCTGCACCGACTCCAACCTGGCTATATCCTTCCTGTAATGAGGGGCCCAAAACTGAGCACAATACTCCAGTTGCGGGCGCATCAGAGTCGTGTAGAGTGGCAGTGATCCCTCTCTCAATCTAGAAGCCACACTTCTGGCTATTCAACCAAGGGTGGCGTTCGCCCTCTTGACCACCACATCACACTGCTGGCTCATGTTCAGCCTGCAGTCAATCAGCACCCCAAGATCCCTTTCAGAAGTGCTGCTCTCCAGCCACTTGTCCCCTAACCTGTACTTATGACACCCATTCCTATGCCCCAAGTGCAAGACCTTGCACTTATCCACATTGAACGCCATCCTGTTGTCTCCTGCCCATTTCCATAGTCTGTCCAGATCCTTTTGGTTCTTCGTCGTGGCCTCTGTGCATCACACATATGGGTTCTGTGCCTGCGCAGTGCCTTTGGCCGGAAGATTAAGGTTTTTGGCGGGAACTCCACTCCCGCTCCCTGCTAGCATTATTTAAGGATCGGAGTGTCCGCCATTTTCCAGTCTTTGCGACCGCCGTTTATGGTGCTTCGTGCTGCTTCGCTCTCACTTAGATCATTACTTACCTTTCGCTTGTTGAAAAACTTCCCTTTTTCTTACCAAGTTAGTAGTCCCTCATTCCTGTTGCTGTTAGTATTTCACTTACTTCTTTGCTTTTCACCATTTTTTCTCTCTTGTTCTTAAAAAAAAACAAACCAAAAATATTACTTTCCTGCTTTACTATCTCCTTTTCTTCTATTTCTACGATGGCGCAACGGGTGGCGTTCCGCAAGTGCGGCTCCAAAATGCCCGCCGCGGACCCGCATGACCTGCACCTCCTTTGCCTGGGGGAAGGGCACAGGATGGATAAATGCGGCCGCTGTTTGGCCTTCTCCAAACAGGCGAGGAAGAATCGGGAGAACCGCCTCCGCAAACGCTTGTGGGACCGGGCTCTCCTCCAATCGGCCCGGCTGGTGGCTAAGCCTCCCACCACTGTGGCTCCACCCAAAGGCCGTCCAACTTGGGCCGACCGGCCGCAACGCCCGGCCTCTTCCTCCATTGCTCTGCCCTCACGCCCTTCTGAAGAAGGTGCTCCTGCCATGGCCGATCAGCCCGTTTCCCTACCAAGGAAACAAAAGGAGAAGAGAAAGCACAGCGATCCGGACAAACATCCTGTGCATAAGAAGGCCAAAAGAGATAAGGCGGGCAAGCCGGTTAAAAAGCCGAGGAATCCCGAGCACACAAAGCATCGCCACTCGGGTTTGGTGACTTCCTAGATCCCGACTCCAGCCATGGAACCGACCCCCTCGGTCCCGACCATCCAGGTGGCTCTGAGGGTTACTCCACCAGGCTCACCGCGCCGACCGGCAGCCGGACCCCTTCTGGACCCACGGCGTGGCTCCATCTCAGATGGTGAAATAAGGGATTCTCCACCGAGAGCTTGGTCGCCAACACCAATGCCGCCCGTCCCTCTGGATACCGACATCGCCATCTCTCCTCTGAGAAGCCGCAGGAGCCGTTCTTCGGATGCTAGATCCAATGACTGGTACCATTGCAGATACTCCTCTGCTCCGAGACGGGAAGAGTACCAATCCCTGGCCTATTACCCAGTTTCCAGGGGACGATCCTCGCCGCCAGCTCCTTGGGATCGTTTCCATTCTACACCCAGAGACTCCCCGAGGGCTCCATCTAGGGAGAGCGGCAGATCGGAGTCGCCAGGAGATTCCTCTTCCGGTGCACCACCTCCTTACTGGATGGAATCTGATGAGTCTGAGGTTGACTCGACCTCACCAGATGCAGCGGTTACTTCGCAAGGCCCGGGGTCACCTGAAGAACCGTACATCTCTTTCAATGAATTGATGGCCAGGCTGGTGAGGTCGCTCGACATCGAAGCCCACCAACAACTGGGACCGAGCACTGACCGTTTTGTGGTCAGGGGCGAACGATCCACCTCTATTGCCTTACCATTCATTACGACTCTGCGGCAGGCAATGCCTCAGCCATGGGACCTCCCGGCCCACCCACAACCGACTTCACGTAAATATGAATCTATGTATCGGGTTTGGGAGGAGGACATCCCGTTCCTCCTCCGTCACCCCAAGCCGAACTCGGTTGTTGTGGAATCTTCTCAGGGCCGGGAAGCACATGGACACACCTCGCCTTGCGATAAGGAGGGAAGAAAAGTTGACTCCCTTGCCCGCCGGGTGTACGCAGCTTCGTGCCATGGATTACGAATTTCAAATTATGAGGCGACTCTGGCGCGCTATCAATATTTTCTTATGCAGTGCCTAGACACCATCATTGACACCTTCCCAGGAAACCAGGGCGAACTTGCAAAAACCTTTGTTAAGGAAGCTATGCAGGTGGCGGTGCAACAACTCTTCACAGCGAGGCACCACATTGACTCTGATTCGAGGTCGCTTGTAGGTGCCATTTCCCTCCGCAGACACGCCTGGTTGCGTAATTGCAATTTTCCCGAAGAAATGAAGCGGAGAATTGAGGAGCTGCTGTTTGACGGATCCGGTCTCTTCAACGCGAAGACGGATAGTAAACTGAAAAAGATCAATGAATCCAGAATGATGGCCCGTCGTATGGAACTGCAATCCCTGCCTCGACGTAAGTGGTCATGGTCACACCCACAATACCGCCAACAATTTCAACCTTGGCAACAACAACCACATCAATGCCAGCAACGCCGCAGACAGCAACCGTCCCAGCGCTTCCAGCAGGGCTGCCGCTGCTTTGAGACGGACAGGCGACAGCACTGATGCGACGAGTGAGCCTTTCCTCTCCTCCCAACTTCACCCTCCCCCCTCTCATTTGGGGACCGGCTGAAAAGTCGGCTTTCCACTTGGGAGTCCATTACATCTGATGGGTGGGTGTTATCCATCATCCAGCATGGCTATAGAATTGAATTCGACATTGTTCCATCACCGAATCCTATCCGTTTTACACCGACCTCGTCGGTACTGTTGGACGAGATTCACCAACTCCTTACTAAAGGAGCTGTTCGTCGCTTATCGTTATCGGAAGAACTCCACGGATTCTATTCCAGATATTTTACGGTCCCGAAACGAGATGGGGGTCTCCGACCCATATTGGACTTGAGAGCTCTCCATAGATTCATAACACCAAAGAAGTTTCGGATGACCACGCTCCAAAATATACTTCCGTTGCTGGGGAAAGGGGATTGGTTCGCCTCGCTGGATTTGAAGGATGCCTATTTTCATAATTCAATACATCCACGTCATAGGCGCTTCCTTCATTTTGTGGTAGACTCTGAAATCTACGAATTCAAGGTGTTACTGTTTGGATTAGCCACTGCACCAAGAGTTTTTACGAAGTGTATGGCCCCTGTCTGCACGCACCTTCGTCTACGTGGAATTCGGATGTACCCGTACCTTGATGATTGATTGTTGGTTTCCAACACTAAAGCAGGACTTTCGTCTGCTGTTGAGTTTACATGTGCTCTATTGCACGATCTTGGACTCTGTATTAATCAACAGAAATCTTCCCTTCTCCCTACATAGACGATCGACTTTATCGGAGCCCGGCTGGATTCAACGTTGACAAGAGCCTTTCTTCCTCAAGACAGACAGCATGCTATTGCTCGGTGCATCTCTTGGATTCGACGAGGAAGAACTGTCCCCGCCCGCTCTATCCAGAGCCTGTTGGGACACATGGCTGCATCCATCGCCGTGGTTCTGCATGCCACATTCAGGCTACGCCCTCTCCAGTTATTCTTCAACGGGATGTTCCCACCACAGAGAGATCCATTTACCGAACGGATTCGGCTCCCGGCTTCCATTCTTCAGTCCCTGTTATGGT